CCCCGGCGGTGGTTCTCGTTCGAAGGCGGCGAGGGCTTTTTCCCAGGCTGCCGGCTTTGCGTAGGTCATAAAAATACGGCGTAGCGGTTTAACCCTAATCCTGCCGGGTGTTCGAAGCCCGGGTCTGACCCTGCCCGGAAGAGCCCTTACCTTTCATCCTTCAGACCGGTTCGCCCTAGCGTACGAAATTCCAGTCGCCTTATCACAATGGCAACTTAAAACCATATGGGGAATAATTTTCAAATCTGTTAGAATTTTCAAGGAAATCCTTCTTCCCTGGTGCCGCCACTAACACCACTTCAAACACTTCCCCGCTGTTAAAGGCCCCTGAGGAAATAAGCGGCTGGTTGCATGTTTACTTTACCTTGGTGCAGCAGAGAGGGATCGTTTTAGTGCAAAATTAGAACTCGCACTGGTAAGACAAAGCAGAAAGACCGGCTGGAAACATTCTGGCACAATGCCATTATTATATCCGTTACAGAAACGCTGCAGCTAGAACAAGGCAAGTGTGGAGGAAAAAAAAGTCACACGGCTGGCAGCTGCGGGTTAGTGTCTTCACGCCTCCTGTAAATTGGAAACGTTCTGCGCCATACCTTTCTTTGCTAGGTGAAATACGTTTTTTATTTCAGTGTACGTTCTAATGAGAAGAGATGGCTGGTTCAATGATACTACCTTGTCTTGATCTGTGGGAGTTAATGAATTAAAGCGGTCATTATGCTGGCTAGTCCATAAACATGATGATAAATTATGTGAACAAGTGTTTGAGGGCAACCTGAAAACATTTGAATGACATCCCCGACATTTCTTTTATTGTTACTTAGGATATCCTTACTGTGCACACATTTTACAGGGATAATTTGAGTAAACCAAAATTAGAAGTCTGCTTTAGGTGGGCAGACGAATTTACATTTAATAAAAGTCATCAGTGGAAAAGCAATTAAATTACAGTACAGGATCCCTCTTTCTATGTATCTGTATTGCCATTCCTCTTAGCTGTACTGTATGGTTTCAATTTCATGTCTAGTCCCCTGCTTTCCACAGAAGAAAAAGGAAGGCAAATAATACACATTTCCATCTATATCTGCTGAACAAAACTTGCAATGCATACGTGTTTGTCTGTGTGTGTGTTTGGATATATGCAATTTCAAATAAATAGAAGCAGCATTATCATATTGTTCAAAGCAAAGCAGATTCTTCTCCCTCACCTACTGATTTAAACACTGTAACTGGTGCTTAGTTTATGCTGGCTGGCTGCCAAGAGAAAGCAATTATGTGCAATAATAGCAAAATTAAGAGGTGAGTGTTGCTGTTTTACAGCAGGACATGGCAAAACCCATTTCCTTCTGTCAGCTGTAACTTGATTACACACACAGTCACACAGGCACACACTCTGTTTTACACGCATACACATGCGCACACACACTCTTGTTCTTTGTTGTTTGCTGTCTTTCCTGTGGGTTTTAACTTGAGGTCACTGAAACCAGAGAAGAGGAAGAGTGTTGACCACAGCGTTTAAAAGCAAATGAGAAAAAAGCTCTCATTTTGTGAGGAAGGAGAGAAAAACTGAAAAAAGAGCAAAACAAAAAGCCTAACCCGATTATTGTTCTGACTGTGATACTACTTTGTTTTTCTCCCACTGGCAGGTGTCCTAGTGGTAAATGTTACATGGAGGAACAAGACTTATGTGGGAACACTGCTGGACTGCACAAAGCATGACTGGGCCCCTCCTAGGTAGGCAGTGATTCTGAGTCTGGTTTTTCTCTGCTGTATATTCACCCCCGATCTCTGTCAAGAGACTATACAGAGATTAATAAAAAACAACTGGTCATAATTGAAAACATACACCAGTGAAATGAGTAATTCTCTGTTCCACACAGAAATGTGGGGTGGGACTTCTTATTTCTTTTTGTTTTGTGTTTTTGAGAGGGAAGGGGAAATACCTGGGATTCAATCAGAGGGCAATTAATTTAAAAATGCATTTCTGTAAGTTTGGAATATTTGTCTCTCCGTTGTTCTAATTAGGTGGCCTTGTTCTTACCATTTTTGTCCTTTTTTAATGACTTTCCCTTTCAGACGGTAACATTCTCATCTGGAAGAAGGACATCTTTCCTTTAACATGTATGAAGGTTCGGTTATGGGAAGTGGTGTTGTTTTGGTATTTATTCAGTTCACAGCTCCTGCTGATGGAATCTGCTCTTGTTTATATAGGTTTTGTGAATCGCCAACAAGTGACCTGGAAATGCGTGGAGGACGGGGCAGGGGAAAGCGGGCAAGGTCTGCTGCAGCTGCAGCTGTGCCTGGGAACGATGCGAGTTTTGCAGAGTCCAGAGGACTTCAGAATAAGAATCGAGGTGGTGCCAATGGGAAGGGGAGGAGGGGCAGCCTTAACTCAAGTGGGCGCAGGACACCCCCAAACTGCTCCATGGATGAAGTCAAAGCCAGCCCCTCATCCACAAACAAGAGGAAGACTAAGCCTCCAATGGAGCTAGATTTGAACTCCAGTTCGGAGGACAATAAATCTGGAAAACGTGTTCGTACTAACTCTAGAAGCACTCCCACCACCCCACAGGGGAAACCTGAGACTACTTTTTTGGACCAAGGCTGCTCTTCTCCAGTGCTGATTGACTGTCCTCACCCCAACTGCAACAAAAAGTACAAGCACATTAATGGACTACGATACCATCAAGCTCATGCACATTTAGACCCAGAAAACAAACTGGAGTTTGAGCCTGACAGTGAAGACAAAATTTCAGACTGTGAGGAAGCATTGAGTAATGTGGCACTTGAATGCAATGAGCCAAGCACAAATTTGCCAGGCTTTGATCCACTAAAAGCACCGACGTCTCCTTCCTCCATCACTACCCCAGGGACCCCCAAGGGAAAAAGGGAACTGACCAGCAATGGTTCAGTTATCAGTTCCAAAACTGGCAAAAATTCTGGCAAAAAGAAGGGTCTGAACAGTGAATTGAACAGCCTTCCAGTGATTTCTAATATGGCAGCCACACTGGATAATTGCTCGGCAGCAGATGGCAATTTGCAAACTGAAATGCCGAAATTGGAGGCTGAAGGGTTAATCGACAAGAAGAGCTTGGGTGATAAAGGCAAGAAGGCGAACAATTGCAAAGTGGATAAAAACCTTTCCAAACTGAAAACAGCCAGGCCCATTGCCCCAGCGCCAGCACCGACTCCTCCCCAATTAATAGCTATACCTACTACAGCCTTTACAACCACCACTACAGGGACAATACCGGGACTGCCCTCTCTAACAACTACTATTGTTCAGGCTACACCAAAGAGCCCTCCGCTAAAACCTATTCAACCAAAGCCCACAATTATGGGAGAGCCAAGCACTGTAAACCCAGCTCTCGCATCACTCAAAGACAAAAAGAAAAAGGAGAAGCGAAAGCTGAAGGACAAAGAAAGCAAAGAGACGGGAAGCCCCAAGATGGATTCTAAGCTGGGAAAGCTGGAGGATTCAAAAGGGTCTGGGAAGGACTTATCTGGACATTTTTTAAAGGACCATCTCAGCAAGAATGAAGTGCTAGCTAATGGACTGTCAGAGTCTCAAGAGAGCAGAATGGCAAGTATTAAGGCTGAAGCTGATAAGGTTTACACGTTCACAGACAATGCGCCCAGCCCTTCCATAGGGAGTGCCTCCAGGATGGAATGCAGCACTTTGGTGAATGGACAATCTGCCATGGCGCCACTGCACGTGTTGACACAAAATGGTGCAGATAGCGCGGCTGCTAAAACCAACAGCCCTGCTTACTCAGATATTTCTGATGCGGCTGATGATGGTGGCTCTGACAGCAGGTCAGAGGGCATGAGGTCAAAGGCCAGCTCTCCGTCAGATATTATTTCTAATAAGGACAGCGTTGTAAAAGGACATTCTTCAACCACGGCACAATCGGCTCAAGCAAAAGAGTCCCATTCTCCTTATTACCATGGCTATGATCCTTATTATTCCCCAAGTTACATGCACTCTGGACAGGTCAGTGGCCCAGCAGCTGGGAACAGCAGTACTCCACAAGGACTGAAGATCAAAAAAGAGGCTGAGGAAGAGGCTGAAAAGAAAGAGAAGGCAGAATCGTCAGATGCCAAGAAAAGCGAAAGCACTTCCTCTAATTTGCAGCCACAACACCAGTCAGTAATAACGCAAAGACACCCTGCACTTGCTCAGTCACTTTATTATGGACAGTATGCCTATGGGCTCTATATGGACCAAAAGTCCTTAATGGCATCTAACCCTGCTTACAGGCAGCAGTATGAAAAGTACTATGAGGACCAGAGACTAGCAGAACAGAAAATGGCACAAACTGGGAGGGACTGTGAAAGGAAGAATGACCCTCCCTTGAAGGAGATTGGGAAGGATGACAACAAGCAGAAGAATATTCCGTCTGCCACTATTTCAAAGGCCCCTTCAACTCCAGAGTCCAGCAAAAATAACACTAAAATAGGGTCAGCAGTCCCTAACAAAGGTGAGGAGTCAAGCAAATCACAGATCCTTTCCAATCACCAGCAGCAGCTTCAGTCTGACAGTTTCAAAGCCAAACAAATGGAAAACCATCAGCTCATAAAGGAGGCTGTGGAGATGAAATCTGTGATGGACTCCATGAAGCAAACGGGAGTAGATCCAACCACAAGATTTAAACAGGTGAGATCATAGGAAATGGAACAAGAATGTCTTGATTTATCCTTAAGTCATGTGCGATTTTGACCCTGATTCTGCTATGTTCTTCTATCTTTGCAGCCAAACAAGCTCCACCATCCTTTTTTCATGCCGTATAGTGCTGTAGTCTGTGAATAGACCAACAGAACTCCCAGTTGAGCTGTTTGAAAAGGAAAAAAAAAAAAAGATCTAGCAATGTGGTGACAGAACCCAGGCTTAAGACCTGAATAGACTATTTTAAGTTACATGCATGAATCAAATAGAATTGGATTTCTTTTTTAGATATAAATTCTAAGCAATTTGCTTAGTTCAGAAGTGAGAGATTTCAAGCAAAATAATCAGCTTTCATTGTGAGAGGACTTAAAGTAGATTTGAAACATGGTTTGAAGTGTTTCTTTTTTTTGTTAAATGACAGTTGGCGTTTACTAAAGATGGGTGAGCTGGTTCTTTGAAGAGTTGGCTTGAAGCTCAGCTCTTTATCTTAACCCAGGGTGACCTTTTTGAAGCAGTTAAGTTCCCCTTCTCTCCTCAACCAACCTCAAGCCCCTACAGACCTACACAATGGATGAAATCCTCTCTCCACTGAAGTCAGTGATAGTTTTGCCATTGACTTCAGTGGAACCAGAATTTCTTCCAGTGGCTTCATGCTGACCTTCCTAGATGTCACACTGCCTTCATTCGAGGCAACGCGACTGTCTCTGTGCTCTGAACCGGAGCCTCAATGCTTGATGCTTTCATGTTCTGGTGTATGGTACATCCCAGACTTCACCCTTACAGGCTGTCTTTCAAGGAACAGTGGGGTCAGGTGAGTGGGAGTTAGGGAGCTCTAAAGGAAGTGGGATGGTACAGCCCCGACTAGGAGAAGATTTCTGCTGATTCAAATGAGTATTTGAGCCAGACTGTCCAAGATTCTAGTCATATGCTTATGTTTCTGTTGCATGTGCCACAAATGTGTTTCAGTTGGAGACAATGTTTACAATTAGGTCTTGTGTGTCCTGTATTAGAAAAAAAAGTCTTCCTGTTACTGCTAAGTACTGATTTGGTGTAGTTTTGTAAAGAACTCTCCTACCTAATTCTATAATGTGTTTATAAATTGGTCTATATAATATATTATGAAAAAATGTATTTATGATATCCTGTACATGTTCTTTAAACCATGTGGTCCTGATCCTGTAAATACTTATCCATGTGTAATTTTACAAACTTGAAATAAGACTGCCAGCTGAAGAAGTCTGCCTTAATGTCTGACTTCCACTGATTCCTGAATGTTTGTAATATCAGAGGCAGCATCAGCATCTTTCCAGCTAGATCAGTTTTTCAGGTTCATTGTTCCAGGTAATCTAAATGCTCTGGCATATCATTGGCCAGCTTTAATTTTGTGGTTCACAGATATTTTTTGCTCTCTAGTGGGAAAATCTCTCTGTGGGCTTTAATTAAAACGTTTTATGAATAGCGTGGTCTCAGAACTTTGATACAATGCATATGTATTTCATGATTAAACTAGTTCAAGGCATGAAGAAGGATATAAGAGGAAGCAATTGAATTAGATTTTGATAATAGTCTCTTGCTCCTTCATGGGAATATTGGTTTGACTTTGAGCTCAAGGCACTCTATAGCAAGCAAACCTCTCCTTTATATAATAGGGATATGTTGTTAAAACAGCTATTAAAAATACATTAACTGAAGTATGGGAAATATCAATAACAATCTTATTTCAACATCTAAATTCAGAACAATTTTTTTTTTCTCCTCCATATTAGGATCCAGATTCACGAACATGGCATCATTATGTCTATCAGCCCAAATACCTTGACCAGCAAAAATCAGAAGAACTTGATCGTGAGAAAAAGTTAAAAGAAGACAGCCCTAGAAAAACACCTAACAAGGAAAGTTCCCTGCCTAACCTTCCTGTCTCATTAGCAAGCATTAAAGAGGAGCCTAAAGAGGTCAAGCGTTCTGATTCTCAATCAGTGGATGAAAGCAAGATAAAAAACGATGATCGAAAGACTCCTGTAAATTGGAAGGACTCTCGGGGTGCTAGAGTAGCAGTTTCCTCACCAATGAGTCAGCATCAGTCATACATCCAGTACTTGCATGCGTATCCTTATCCACAGATGTACGATCCCAACCATCCAGCCTATCGCGCAGTCTCTCCTGTCCTAATGCACAGCTATCCTGGTATGTATGCTGAAATTTGCCTTGCACACTAGTTAAGATTTACACCCTCAAAGTGCAGTAAAGCCTGCATTTTAATATTTCTGTTAATAGCTAGGGTAAATTAGAAGCTTCTTGGGTGACATTTGTTTTGCTTGTGCTTCCAATTGGCAAAGTTCTGTAGATGAAACTGATTTAATACAAGATGTTCCTTTTATGAACTGTCACAGTTCACAGCTATAGTTTTCTCCACCCTTGACAGTCTGCTATTGCTGTTAGACTGACAGATAGTTTATTGCCTATAAAAATATTCTAAGCACTTACTGTCAGAACCATTATGGTTACTATTCCTTTCACTTAAAGAGGACCCATAAATGTCTGAAATGGCTATCAGCTCAACCCTCTTTATAACCTCCATTCATCAGGGTAAATTAGGTGAAGAAATTGAAGAGCAAAGATGCCATTTTGATCCATTTTTGATGTTATCCTCTGTCCTGGCATCCCCTCCTCCCACCTTGATATAAGCAAAATGTAAAAACAGTAACTTGATGTGGTATTTATTGTTTACCTGCAGGGGCCTATCTCTCTCCAGGATTTCATTATCCAGTTTATGGGAAGATGTCAGGGAGAGAAGAGGCAGAGAAAGTCAGTACCAGCCCGAGCATCAATGCAAAATCAACCACTGAGTCCAAAGCACTGGATTTGCTCCAGCAGCATGCCAACCAGTATCGCAGCAAGTCCCCTGTTGTAAGACTTCATCTGTTGTTACTGAAAAGTGGTACATATGGGGAGGGGTAGAGAACATCCTTTTAAAAAGCACACAATCTGGCATCAAGATCTGAATGCGTGATTCTTCTTTATAGTAATGCTTAAAATAAAAGCAATTTATAGTCAGGATGCTTCCGTGGCATGAACTTCAAGTGACACATATAACACAGTTCTGTGCTCAGAGTTTTCCTATCTTAAATGAATGGACTCATATGGAAACATAGATTCAGAGATACCTCCTGGTGCACAGTTTATTGCAGTTAAACAAGAAGCTTCTGTTTGGAAGCAGATAATGAAATGAGAAGTTGGGCTGTGGGATTTGGTAATATCCCCTCCCTGTATTTGCCAAGAAACCACATCTTCCAAATAGCAAGATTACCAGCCCCCATTTCTGAAGATTTCCACATTGGAGCAAATACTGTTATTTTACTTTCAGATAAGTTGGTGCTACTTTTAATTGTGAGCAAGTCACTGACTCTGATTCTATTTTTAAAAGGGCTTTCTTGCTATTCAGGCAGGCTTTATCCCCAGAGTGCATTAAAGAGGGCTTAGGATTCTTTTATATCAGCTTTCAGCAGGTCAGGTAGGTTGTTCAGGCATTGGCAAGTCAGCCAAGCTTAAGGGAGCCCAAAACTAGAAGTCATCGTGGTGGCTTCAAGCTGCAGTGTGTTGCCTCAAAATCTCTGTGCCTTGGAAAATCTTCCATTAGTCAGATACACCAGTTTTGGATTAGAATCAAGTGCAAATAATCCAGTAGAGATATTTGTTCTTCAGAAAAAATCGGCTTCATCATTTGAATTCAAAAGGTTGTTGCCAGGTGATGGCAAGTGTGGTTGTGTTGTGATTTCATCCCTTTTAAAATTCTCACATCAGTTTTCTTTCACGTTCTATTACTAGCCTGTGGAAAAATCAGCAGCTGAGCGTGAACGGGAAGCAGAAAGGGAACGAGACCGTCATTCTCCTTTTAGTCAGCGGCATCTCCATACACACCATCACACACATGTTGGAATGGGTTACCCCCTTATACCTGGACAATATGACCCATTTCAAGGTGAGCAGAAGATTTCCAGTGGTGGGATTAGCTTGCCTCCTGGAGTTGTTACTTTGACATTAGAAATCATGCCTATTTGAATAGATCCCCATGTTAAATCAGAAGTGCTTTACATTTAGGAAGAAGGCTTGAAAATTCACCGCGTGGACTAACAGCAAATGAATAGCTTCATGTCTGAGAAACACCAAGTTTTGTTTCCAAAACTGGGTGTTAGAGCATTATTAAAGGTGTACCAGTTAGGCTGTTATTCACATTAATGTTTTGATTCCTTCTACAAACTGACGTTAACTGGCTGAAAGGCAGTAAAAAAATCAAACCAAACAACCTCCTTTTTGTATAATTAGGGTTGTGTAAGCAATGGAAGAAGTGTAGCAAAGACAAAAGCTTTTTATACTGAACATATTTTATGTACAAGGCGTTGCAGTCACAAGGGTTTGAGCTTGTTATAATTTGACCGTCTGAAAGAGGACTCTCTGTATTTTGGCAAATGCAGTGCACAAAGTTGCAGTCAGTGAAAAAGCAGCACAGTAAGATACGATTCATTCTCCCTAGGTTTTATACCAGTCTTTGTTTTTCTCTAACCCTAGGCTCTAGCTGAATTAAAAGATTTCCTCCCATGCAAAAAAGTACATGCTATCACTATTGGTGGCTAAATGACATTAATTCATTACATTCACTTGGTGCCTCAGCAGTTATTTTTCCTGTGTAAAAGTCTTGACATTTCTCAGTTTGATTCAGTGATTCCATATGCCTTTTGGGATGCATTATGCTTGTTCAGTAGGAAAACTGTAAAAATGATAAGTTATTGTGACAGTATTGTATTCTGAGCAGCTGGCATGTCGTTTCTGTAATTCACTGTGACTTTTGATTCTTGTTGTTTCCTGGTACCTATTATTTCTACTAGGCTTTCTATTCAGGAACTCATACAAACCACTTAGCATCATGCAGTGCAGTACTTGGAAAGGAATACAATAAGTAGGAATGCTGTATTTTCTTGTAAAATATCTGTCAAGGACAATTCGGTTTATTATATGAAGGCATATTGATCATACTGGGCAGACTGTCTTAACACTGTTGCCTGAAATATTTGCCATTTATGCAGTGTTAAACCCCCACTATTTTCTGATGGTGGGTTTTTTGTCTGTTTGCCTTAAGAGGTGCTTCCTAACATTTCTCTGAGCACAAAAATCCATTAAAACCAGAAGTACATCAACATTCCTTTGTTTCTTCTTTCCCTCAGGATTGACCTCTGCTGCCCTTGTTGCCACTCAGCAGGTGGCTGCACAGGCATCTGCTTCTGGTATGTTTCCTGCACAAAGAAGGTAAATAACCAGTAAATCTTAAATTATTTATCTTAACATAGAGGGAAGAAAGCAAACCATAGATTTTATAGCCTGATGGTCTGCAGTTCCTTGTATGACACAGTTTTTAAGGATGAAGAAAAACTTGGGACTTTGGGTTAATTGTAGTTTTATTCTCTTTAAGGTGACATTTTGTCCTTAGTTCTGTCCTTTAACTGTAACATAGATCATTAAAAAGGAACAAGTAGTCTTCTGAGATTTTCCATAGACTATGTTTTAAGGATTGGTATAAAGATAAAACAAGTTATTGTGAAATATAATTTAAGATCCAGATTTTTTATAACAGGGGTTTAAAGTTCATCTTCAGTTAGATCCATGTACTACCAGGAAAACTTAAGTTTTTATCTATTTGCAAGTCTGCCTGGTTTGCTGATTTTGCTTTCAGAGAGGTTTGCTTGGGAGTCCATTAGAGGTGACATCGTATTTAAGTTGCATACCCATGGCACACATTTGCCTCTCGGTTATATACTAGATTTTCAGTAGAATTTACTCTTCAACCATCATCCTTACTCTTCAAGAGGAAAGAGACTCTTCTGTATTATAATGATCCCATCTCAAGTGAAAAACCCAAAGCGTCCTTAACATTAGGGTTTCTTTCATCACTGCCATGTTAAGCCTCAGAGTTTAATGTATTAAATAGTTCTGTAATGTTCCATGGCTATGGGTGTCTTTCTGAAAGCTGACTCTGAAGACGAAGAACCATGTAAGGCTCTTAGCTGGAATTATTTGAGTGGGAAAGGTTTGTAGCCCTGAAAGAGCTGATGGATGTTAGGGTGTCAGAATATGGAAGATAAATCCCGGCACAGGTTACTTGTTAGTATGTTGTTCCTGGCAGGGGAGGGACGAGGACATGGTTTGCTGTCTTTCCTTCTTGGGATTGAGAGTACTGTGCAGATTTCATTTCATGGCGTATCTGAGGTGCAGAAGAAAACTAGGAGGAAAGGATACTGCATACTAAAACATTCTTCTTTCTCTTTTCAGAGAATGATGAGTTTGGAGATGTACATTGTCATGTGACTGGATCACATGAGGAAGCGCTTTATTACAGACATCAGTTCCATGGTGTTAATTTGAAATGCCTTAATGGCAGGCAAAAACCAGTCATTTCATTTTTGTAAATTGCAGATTTTATCACAGAGTAACAAATGTTGCTGTAATTAGACTTCTGTTTTTATATATATATATGCGTATATATATATATACATATATATA